TGCTCAAATATTCTATTTTCTTATTTAATTGTTTGTTCTATCAGTTACAATAGAGATGAGTTGGAATCATTGAATATGATTGTGTCTATTTCTCCTTTTAGTTCTGTCAATTTTTGTTTAATATTTTGAAGCTAGGATTATGTCTTTCTGTAGAATTGACCCTTTTATCATTATGAAATGTCCCTTTTTATCTTTAGTGATGCTTTTCTAATATTAGTATCTTCTAGATAACTAACTTTTGTTTAAATACATCTGTGCGTGGAAGCTGCTGCTTCCTCCAGAAGCTGTCTTTGCCATGATTAGCAAGTTAAACTTTCATTGGGAACATCATCCCTCTGTCAAGCTAAATTTTGCCTCTTTGTAGCTTCAACCTATTGGTACTTGTCTGGTTCAATAAAACAACATGGCTAGCATAGTACTTAAAAACATACACTTCAGAATCTGAAAGGTTTGACTAGGCTTTAGCCAAGGGCTGGTTACATGATCTCTCAAACCCTCAATTTTCTCACTTATAAAATTGGTATAACAATGCTTATCCTGAACAAGCGTGTTAGGATGATTAAATGAATTAGGTGCCTAGAACATACTAAATACTCAATTAGTGTTAGTAGTTGTTACATCTTCCATATTACAAGCAGGTATTTGGTATTTTCAAGCCTGAGTAAAACATGCCTACTTCCTTCAACTATATCTCACAGGACATAGTTTTCAGACCCTCAATTAGTGTTAGTAGTTGTTACATCTTCCATATTACAAGCAGGTATTTGGTATTTTCAAGACTGAGTAAAACATGCCTACTTCCTTCAACTATATCTCACAGGACATAGTTTTCAGACCCATTTCCAGATATCAGCCTTTGGATACACTTTATTTTTGCTACTGTTCTTAAGTGATACTATGACACGACCTATATTATATAAGCAGCACAAAGTATAGTGGGACTAATTACTTCCTATGAGCTGAGCACACTTTGGGCCCAACCTAGGGTTTTAATGCTGTCTAACATGATCAATTTTGTTAAATGTATGATCTCCTGCCCAGCAAGGTTAGCTATATCCCCAATCTGAATAACAGACCCCTTAGCACTTGGAGATAGTGTCCAAGTTGATCCAAGACCATTAATCACGAGCTGTTCGGTCTATTAAAGATCCAATCAACTGTACTGTTATTCATCCAGCATTTTACCACCTTACATGCAAGGTTTGTGATATGTGGGTCCTGGGTCTGTTTGCTCTCAGATCCATCCCTCACTTTTTCTTCTGTACTCCATATTGCAGAAAGGCAGACTCCTGTGGGCTGTATATCCTAGGCTCTTGACAGCCAATAGGAAGCAGGACAGGAAGACTGGGGGGTGGATGGGAGAGAGAAGTAAGGGCATTTCTCCCCTGTGCTCTATGCTGCGACGGCCTTTTCTGCTGCAGGTGCATCTCTTCCCTGGCTCCAGCTACCACTGGACAGGCCCACTGGGTTCCAGTGTCTGTCAAGTGACTCTTACTCTTGGGCTCAATTAACTCTGCCTTCCAACTTTTCCCTCTAGCCTTGCAGTAGTAACAGCTTTCTTCTATTGCTAATTGCTTATTTGCTTCTCTGTTCCCCGTTGGCTTCTCAGTCTCTCATTAAAAGAATTACTATTTTCTGCTTTAGATTTCCACAGGTTTAAATGGTTTGTTTCCCTGGTTGACTCTGGCTATCTGATACATATGTTACCTGCAGTGCTATCATTTCTTAAATTGTGTACACAGTACTATCTGCTTTATAATCATGATGACAGTAAATAAGGTGAAAGGTGAAAAAAAAATGTAGCTTTATATGATTTGGTCTTAGAGAATCCATGCAAGTTTCTAGTCATCACTAAAATAAATCTTTCTGGATTGCTCCCAATTAACCCATTGAACAGCCTGGAGAAGAACATTA